GTCGTTTACGAGATGTTCCGAGTATCGTAATTTGAGTGGAAAGTATTTGGTGTTTTGAATAGGTGGTCACTTATGGGAGGTGGTCGCTTACGAAAGTAGTCGTTTACGAGATGTTCCGAGTATGGTAATTTGAGTTGGAAATTTTTGGTGTTTTGAATGGGTGGCCACTTATGGGAGGTGGTCGCTTACGAGATGTTCTGAGTATAATAATTTGAGTGGGAAAAGTTTGGAGTTTTGGACAGGCGGTCACTTATGGGAGGTGGTCGCTTACGGGAGGTGGTCGCACATGGAGGTTCGACTGTATTACCTGTAGCAGAATTTACTAGAATTCAAAGAGAATATTTATGTTAGTGTGCTGGTGCTGGGATGTCACCTGTGTAAGTTTCAAAGCATTTTTCTTCGTCGTATCATCAGTTAAGACAAACGTTAAATGATTGGCGCCCTTCCAAACTAATTAACCCTTTTGAATTTTTGGATTTCAAAAGATCACTTGTAAAGAAATGCATAAGGTCATTTTCAGGGCCACGTGTTTTATAATGCTGGTAATTAAAGGGTCAGCAAAAACAAATTCGTTATTTTAACAAACCAAAAATGTATATACCTGCCAAAACCCTTGTGAGACGTTTGGGCGGAAGTTAAGGAGAGAGACCAGTTGATATCGAATGAATTTAACTTAATTGAAATTTGTTTCAGTTTTTGTTGTTATTATTAACTGTATTTGGCCTTGACCTTCTACAGTGTACAATATAAACCACCTCGTAACAACTGACGATAGTAGTGACCGCTGAGTAAAAAAAATTGTGCCTTCAAGAGTTTCGCCTTTGAACTTCCCCGGCTTTTATGGTCAGTCTGTTTTGCTATCTATGATCGCACCGGTAAAAAATATAGGATTAAAAAATTCATTTGGGGGAGTGAAAAGTATCTACGACACACTTCATTTTTTTTAAGTAATAACACATATTTCTAAAATATAAGCAATGTTTTTTTTTGTTTGGCAGAAAAGTTTTAAACAGACCTGATTGGTACAGGTGGATGATGAGATAAAAATTATAAGACATGAATTTTTTAGTCATCTTGTTGTAAAATCATATTACTGCATTTAATTGAAGACTCCTTTTCTGGAAAATGTCCTGCGAAATGTATTGATGTAGGCTGCAAGGTGAGTTGTGCCATTCATAGAACAAGTCATTGTACCAATAGACATAACGACTGAAATATCCTTTTATTATGAAGTGAAAGTAATTGAAAAAAGGGATTTTGTTGCAGATTATGGGAATTTTCTGTTGATCGCAGTAAAAAATGAAAACCTTTCAAATTTCTTTGCTCAACTCTTTATTTACGTATATGACAATCGTATTCATTTGGAGCTCCTGGAAACATTCTTTTGCAAGTAAAAATAAATTGTGGAGTTGATTGCCTTATTTAGGTGGATGTTAAAATGTGTTATCTCTAACTCTTAAATCAGGATTGAGTTAATACGACTGTGTTAAGTGAACAAGATAAACTTGACCCAAATCCAGGCGTCCAGAAACCTTATGAAAATAAGAACCTACTGCTGTTTAACCTTTATACGATGGCTCTTTCACTAGACAATAGTTGTATTGTCTTTTGTGTTAGGACAAACCAGTGGGTGGCAAGTGAAAGACGAGATTTTTCTCTTAAATCTAAGAATGTCTTACGTCATATCTACTAACTATGCTTAGATATATGGTATTGTACTGTCCTGTGAAGTTTGCTGATTTACAACAACCGGAAAAGCAGTTATATAGATGATCACTTATCGGAGAGAAGTTAGAACTTAGGTTTTTTTGTTGGCTCGCACTGTTGTTATTCTTGCCACCGGGTTTTGTTTTATTAGAAGTCTTGTATTTTCCGAGAGAAAGACTTGGTTCTCTTTAATCTCGATTTCTTTGAAATTTGTAATGCTTCCAAACCTTGTTAGTGTGTTAACACGGTTGAATGTTTTCAGTGGTGAAGGCAATATTATACTCCACTCGATAGCATAAATATAGTTTATAAAACTTAAATTTATTATATGGTTGAAGGTAGAATTCTTTAAAAAAATTAAGCATAAAGTATCTTGAATGAAAAAGTTACGGTGTATTTTTTGGCTAGGGCTCATACCGCTCTTACGGTAAGTTTCAGTGGGGGTGTGCCACCGATGCCAGCAAAGTCTGATTCTGTTTAAGGCGAAATCCATTCATTTCATTACCCTTTTGAAGACAAATAACCGTTTTTGGTGACCCTGCTTTCGCTCTTTGCGTCTACAGAATTGAGTGTTTTGTCCATTAGAATTAGATTTTGCAATAAAAATTTGTTGGTATCACACTAGCCTGCATAGCGTTTACGTTTGGTTTGGGAGCAAAGAAAGACCGAGGAACGGGATTTTCGGGTTTAGCCGCTCGAGAAATGCGCGGTCTTTGACTCTCATTCCTCGTTCTTTGTTCCGAAACCGCACGGAAACGCTTCCTACGCAGGCTAGTATCACACGTGTAGTTTGCGCTTCGCCTAAGCTCACGCCCTGTTCAAGGCTTCTGGTTAAGAGAGACACCCTGTGAAGGATGCCAAGAAATGAAATTTTAACACTCTAAGCCCCAATATCCACACACAAATTCTGCAAACTGATCTCCGTACATTTCCTTACAGATTATTAGATGAGAGAATTTGTTCAAAGATCAAAGCATTTTCCATACATACATACATACATATACTTTGTTTAACCTCGAATTTAAAGTAGCTAAAGATAAGCTAGTATCTTCGAGTTACAAGTAAGATTTTAAAACTACTAAAACAAGAAATTTTAACATTCTAATATTTAAACTATTAAAAAGAGTCATACTGTAGAATGTTGCGCTTGAAATCAGGAAAGTCAGAAGTTCTAAAAGAATCTGGAAGAGCGTTCCATAGTTTTGAAGCCATGCATATACGAAAAGGAGTGTGATCATTTTATTTATTCTCATAACCTTTTATGTTACTTTTATTTTTCTTTTCTTTTCTCTTTATTTTTTATTTTTTATTTTCTTTCTAACCTTTTATTTTACCTTTTATTTCTCATAACCTTTTATTTATTCTCATAACCTTTTCTTTTGATGATGTATTTGACAATTATTCCTCGAGCCCGAATGGGCGCCGAGTCAATAGCCTATTGACTAAGAGGCCATGAGGGCGAGAGTAATAATTGTTTTAGTAAAATCCAACTAGTTGGTCAAAAATATTGGGACAAAACGACTTTAGCTAGTTAAAGCTAGACTTTAATCATTTTTTGCCCGCCAAATTGCCGACGCTTTTCGCTACTAGTGGACTATAACGTATGGCCTAGTAGTAGCTCAACTAATTAGAACGCAGTATTGATAATAGACCACTAGTTCGATCTTACTAATGCTATTGATACTGTTTGGAGAAAATTTACGTTGATCACTTTTGGGACTTAAAGGGGTAAAGACTGGAGACCCCCTGAAACCATACCTTGTTCGATGACACATACCCATTTAGGCCAAATAAGGGAGTGGTATATTTTAATAGAAATTAACCTATGTTATATTTCTTTTCAGGTTTGAGATGCTAGTTCCCTTACTGCTTAGAAGCACGCTGTTGCTTCTTCTAGCAGACCACTGTATTACTCAAGAATGGTATACGCATGCTGACTTGAGAACTGACCTCTCAACGGACATGCTCCAGAGTGGGAAACCATCATTCCGAGAGAAAAGAGATATCGATGTCAATGACGCTAATGGCGATCAATCGACGGAGTACTACTATGTAGCTAATACTCGTGAAAAAAGAGGTACAGAAGATAATAGGGAAGACGATGGTAACGACACAGATGATTCATCAAGTCACGTCCCCGAGGGAAATCTCAACTCAAGTGAATGGTACACTTTGTCAGAAACAAACGCCACCAACGCGGAGAACAACGCGTATGACACTGGTGACTGGAAAAACGGAAATGATAGGAACACTGAGATTATAAGAGTCGGGGGATATAAAGGTAATAGAACGACCATGTTAGACGACATAGAGAAAAGTACTGATATCGCAGATGACAAAAAGGGACAGTCTTTTTCACAACACGCCAGCCGTGCAAGTGAGGTGATGAACACAATGCAAGAAAACAAAAAGAAAGAAACTGAAATTGAGCAAGATGCCGAGAAAATCAAGGAAACAGGTGAACAGGCAGACAGAAGTGAAAAGTCGTCAGAAGAACATTTCCTTACCGATAATGAAGAAGATGAACAACCAGTGAAGAGGCAAAACTTAGGTATATAAGACACATAAAGGTCTGACTGCTTCTTTTGTATTCGAATAGAAAATGCTCTACGATCATACCAATGTGACTAAGGCGACGTTCACATCGGACGAATTTTCATCTCACTGAACAATTTGACCGGACACTTCGTTCACACGGAACGTTCAATATTTTCGCTCTGTTCACACGGAACTTTGAACGGTTTGGCGTCTAAATTTTCGTACGGTTAAGGTGATTCCGTGTGAACGCAACACCTAAACTAATGAACTTCACTTCGGATCATTATACGTTTCTGGGAAACTGCCCACCTACCCCTCCCCTAATCCAACATTTGTCCTAAGTGAGAAGTAAGTGTTAATGTTGGCGTAGGGGAGGAGTAGGTGGACAGTTTCCAAGAAACGTATAATGACCCATTTTGTGGTGCAGTGTGAACGTTGTCTAAATTTAGGATATTGGGGGGGGGGATTAACTTCGTCAACTCGCCTTGAATGAACTGAGTCTCGCTTTTATGCTGAGCGACAAGTTGACGCAATTAATCCCCTATATCTTCTTAACTTAAAGAATAATGGAACAAACGAAGATTGTACGCACGTATTCACCCATACAGCGCCAGCTTAAGTTCACGCGAATTGCATGCTACACACAGTCATTGTGCAGTGCGTAAATATCACCCAAATTTAAACAGAAGTAATGATCCTGGTCTTGCCTATATTCGTAATAAAGTCTTTATTGCTGTCTTATTTTTATCATAGCTTGGGGAGCCCCACGACCTTATGGCTATTCTAGCCAGCAATGTTGTCCACCAAGTATGATATGCCCAGGTAAGTCAGTTAATAAATCTTAACAGGACATGTTTCTTTTCCGCTTAACAGCGACGCGCGATTGCTGTACTGATTGCGAACGCGACTTCAGATGCTCAAATTTTGAAGTTACTAGAATCAAAAAGGTCTCTGATAAGTCGCTTGGACGCGCTGACACCATTGACATACTGGCAGAGATTTACTCCTCAGGGTGTTCTCTTCTTTTTCGTGACCCCTATTTCCTATGATACGCTAGTCTGTGCCAGACTGTCAGTAAGTACAAGCGGGCGAGCAGTGGGAAAGCGAAACAAACTGATATCAATTTTCTCTTTTTCTATTTCAGGTAAACCACCATGTGGTTCAAACAATGGTGGGTATAACGGTTTCCAAGGATACGGTAATTATCCCGGATACTCCAGCTACAAGCCTCCTGTTTCCCTGAGCTTTCAGTCTCCAATTGCGCCAACACCACCACAGTATGCTGTCTCCAATAATGCACCATCTATCAAACACCGAACCGATACTGCACCGATTAAAGCGCGGCCGACCGCAGTAAAAGCAGCAACCAGAAGGATCTCTTTTGAAGATGGAGAGAAAACTAAGCAAAATCCAAAAGACGCCTCGCCGCAAATAAAACAGATTATTTCAGGTGTCGATGACCAAGCGGAGTATAACGGAACTGATCAGAGTTACGCAGGGTATAACGTAAGAGAAAATGAAAAACAGTTTTACGGCGGTTTTTCTGAAGATAGCGATGGTAAAGGTGTGTTTCCAGAGAAAGATGATTCTGCTAGTGCCTCCAAAGAACAGTATTCTTCTGCTGTACAACAACCTGAGAAAAATGCCGACGGAAAGTTGCCAGAAAACTATCTTCCCAAAAATGCTGCAAAAGACACATCACAACAAAACGAAGACGATTCTTCTAAACCGCACGACTATAAAGATGAAATCGAAAAAGAGGCCGTAGAACAGGAAAAAGAAGCTGATGAAAAGGCCGAAAAAGAAGGGTCGGAAAAACAGGGGACCCGTCAGGACGGAAACATCGACGAAGACGTAGACGACGAAGACGACGATTTAGATGATGAAGACGACGATGAAGATGACGACAGCAACGATACAAGAGATGAGGATGAAAATGATAATGACGATGATGATGACAAGGAGAAGGGACGTTTTAATGACGACTCCATGAAGCAAGAAAACAGAATTGATAATCCTGCTGACCAGTCGTTTGCTGTTTCACCTCAAGTGCTGCCTGGAATGTGTCCACCTTGCCGTAAGTAATGCTGAGAAACAAAACGGATAAAAGAGGGCGCAGAAAATAAAATAACGCAATGTTGAAGTATTCGAAAAAAACGAAGATGTGAAGTAGACCGATGGAGAAAAAAATACTTTTGAGGAGTCTGACAAATAAATAATGAATTTAAACAATTGGCTTTGAAAAAGTGAATACGGGATGAGTTAATAAATACATCGACCGTGTTTTGGGAAACAGTGCAACAATTTCGATATATTTCAATTTACACTTACCCCTGAGGATTAGGGGAAAGAACGAAGTACATGAGACTGGTCATTACCGAATGTAATTAAATTTTTTGCTTTGTTCTTTCATTATTTATCAATGAATTGTAACACGGTGCAATCGGCCGATCCTATTGAGCCATTTGTTGGCAGTTATCTAACATTGAACCAAGTTCCTTGCAAACTTTATAACTTATATTAATTTTTCTCTCCGCAGCAAAACCAACAAAAGCTCAAGGTAAGAGAAATTTTCTGTTGTAAGTTGGTACACACACCAATAAGCCATCGTGAGTCTGATACACCTTTCATATAATCTTATTGAGAAATACATTTATCAGCCAACATTATCATAAAACTGGGCAAAAGGATTGATGTTGCCCTGAATTGTCTTTTATTGACGATTCTTTTAAAACTACGATTTCTGTGTAGTCTCTAAGTTAAAATGTTAGAAAGTGTCAGTCGTAATGTATTTAGATGTTGTTTTTGTGAATCTATTCACAGAATTAATCGCCGTTTATTTCTCTTACCCCGACAGCTTGTAGTGCTAAAATCGACCTGGCTTTCCTGGTGGACGGATCTTCAAGTGTTGAAAGATATGGTGTCGGTAACTTCCGAAGAGTAATCAACTTTGTCCGAGGTCTCACGATGGGCTTCGCGATCTCCCGAACCAACACTCGAGTGTCTTTAGTTGTTTACGGAACAAGACCAAAAACCATCTTTGGTTTTCGCAGGTGGGCATGCGTATTAAGTGGCTCAAATTTATTTCATTTGTTAAAAAGTTCCTCTTGAAAAAACGAATACGACAACGTTGATTTTCCCACAGCCTCCATTCTCAGGAGCTAAAATAATAAATTTTTTTTTTTTTGGTGGGGCGGGGGGGCGGGGTCTGAAAGCGACTTACTCATTTGGTGTGATAGATGAGGCTCATTCAGTTATATCTAAAGGAAGAGCTTGGGGAATGATTTTGGAGCAGAGATAACAGATGTAAAAGATTAGGGAGCTTCAGCAATAACGACGGCTACGGCTACGAAAACGTCACTTAAAAGTTGTATTGACGCTGCTTCAAACTTTATGGCGCTTATTCCATCTCGTTCATTTCGTCAAGTGTTGCCAATTTTTTTCTGGAGTTGAAATCTAATAGACTGTATCGAAGTTCAGGAAAAGAAAAACAAAGTCGTTGTGTTGTGTCCACGTTCTCCACAAAACGTGAAATTAGGCAGTTTCACGTCGTAGTCGTGCAGTGACGGCAAAGAAATGTACAAAAAAGCGTTGCTTTTTGCCGTGCGCGTTGACGTCGCCGTCGTCGTTGCTTAAGCTCCCTATTGATACCAGAGGGGAGGGGGGGGGGGAACTAAGGGGCAGACATACTTTAAGATTATTCATTTTAAATGCTTGGGTCCAGATGAGAGAAGGAAAATTCCCCTAGCCTGTCTCTTCGAATCTCTGTTAGATGCAAAGACAGACTAAACGATGAGTGCGCTGCTTCTGAGCAGGCTTTGTATATCGGCTGTTAGGTTGAAGAATGACGATTTCAAGGTGCCATTATTCATAATAAACAAGGTGTGATATAAATGTTAATAACTGGTACTTTACTAGGGCAAACAGATCACCCTGCTTTACGTTGGAGAAGACCATGAAGGGCTCCGTAGCTGTACACTTAAAGCAGAAGTCTTTTGTTTACTAACTTGTGCTATATTTATACAGCAAGCATCAAGTTTGAATGATACTAATCTCAGCAAATTCCACGTTCTATAACGGAACACTAGTGACAAAATTTTCATCTTCCTTGACAGATACCAGAGCAATACTCGGCTATTTTCCGCTCTCAACGGTCCCATTTATTACCCAAGGACTGGAGCAAGAACCGGTCGTGCCTTAAGGAGTGCATACAGGCGACTGTTTAGAATAAGTAGGCGGTCACGAGCCTCGAAAGTGATCGTGGTTATTACTGACGGTGGCTCCATCGATGACGTGCATGCCATATCTAAGCGATTAAGAGCCCGCGGTATCACGATCTTCTCAATAGGAGTGGGAAGGTACTTTAACGCAAAGGAGCTTGATTCTATGGCAACTGATCCAGACAAGACCCACGTCTTTACGTCTGATTTTAAGCAGCTGCAGTACATTACCAACGATCTAAAGAAAGCAATTTGCTTAAGTAAGTAGCTGTGATATATTCTCAGACAACACTTTTGTTTAAGACATTAGCTCATGAAAATCGCTTTCTCTGTGTATTTCTCGTGCTTGTGTATTAAAGGGGCTGTGTCACGGCAGTCCAGTTCATTTTGTTTAATTTTGCCAATTTCTCGCCCTCAATCGCTATTGAAGTTAAAGTAAGCAAAGAAATTACATGTAAATGACAAAATCAGAGATCCGACAAACAGATATGTCTCCTGAGCATTATTTTTGAAGTTGCAAGCAGCAGAGATCAACTTTGAAAAACTGTTGGGCTGAACAGTTTTCAAAAGCCCTAATTTCAATCCGTTTCAATCTTCTTCAGTTTTGCCCATCCGTGACGTCTGTTGTTTCTGTTATGTTATTTTAACCTTCCTTTAAAGTTTTAAGCGGCTATTTTTATGTTTCTCTTAGTTTAACGGGCATTTTGTAATTTCCTAATTTGGCTGAATTTCGTGACACAGCTCCTTTAACGTCAATGGTTCGGATGGGAGGTAGAGGGAGATGAGACGTACCTTTTTCTAATATGCTAAGGTCATTCTTCTGAAATAGAGGCAGCAGTGAGATTTGTCAACCTTTAAAAATTGGCTGTTTATGTCATAGAAAATTAAATTTTGAAATGAAATTGGGGTGTCCCCATACTAGTTTAGCACCATCCGCAACTTAAATATACGCAATAATTCCTTAAAATACCAGTAGGATTATATTTACAAGTGCATGCTTAGAGAAAGAAAGTTATTGCTCATTTTCAAAGAAGAGGAAAAACGGAACGTTACCATACTCGTTTGAGTGAAAATGAAGATTTTTCTCTCTGATGATCTCCAGTCGCAAGGCAAAAGCTTCCATGTTTAAATGTGCGCGCGCTAATCACGCGTGAAATCATGCGCGGTAAAGATGTGCAAGGCAATATTAACTAGGAATAACCTCAAAAACCAATCACAGTTCTTGCTTTCTTTTTCGGACAAAGTTTTGAAATATAATTTTTGTTTTTTTAAATGAAGTCAAAGTGTAAATGTTGTGAATCAATTGATTTACTCACATGCCTTGACCTAGGTGCTGGTGGCCGTCTTTCTGCGTCTTCACTTCAGCCATGTGTCTGCAAACCAACAAAACCTGTGGGACCAACAAAACCAGGTTTGCACCGTGTAATTCTTTTCTCCTTATTGGGTTCTTGCATTTTTGCGCTCACATTTTGCTGGCTTTTGGTTAAACTTGACGAAAAGATTCATAAGGAGCTTAAACGAAACCAACATTACTATTTCGTATCTGACTTTGAGTCAAGAGACTGAAACACTTACACACTGCAATTTTTGTACCTCAAGTTTACTCAAATTGTCCTCCTTTCCTAAAGGCTTCCGTACTGGGTAAGTTCATTTTGAAATTAAAGTTTTCTCTATTTTTTCCTAGAGAACAAACAAAATTTTTTTAAAATGCATTTACCCTGCAGACGTACCTGCCATCGGTTAAGCATATTTTAACTGTCCTTTTCTTCAAAAGCTTCATGTCAATTTTAGCAAGAAAAGTAAGTATTAGGTAAGATCAGGTCCTTGGATGAAAAACTGAAAGGTCTCAATTATCCTCCTTTTAGCAACGAAACCAACGAAAAAACCAGGAACGCCAGGAGGACCCGGATCCCCTGGAGGTCCAGGAGGCCCAGGCGGACCAGGAGGTCCTGGTGGACCAGGAGGCCCCGGCGGTCCTGGAGGACCGGGGGGACCAGGTGGTCCCGGAGGCCCAGGTGGACCAACAACACCAAAGTCTGGTAAACCAACAAAAACAACAAAACCAACAAAGCAGCCTCCAGGTATGAGCTAAATTTATAGACATCTCTCAATTTTTTACGTAAATAATCATATTATGTTAGTGGAAAATCTGTACATCGCCAGCGTTCTTTATCTCTTAAGGTGATGTTACACGGCACGATTCACAACGACGATTTTTAGCGCAACACAGCGTTGCAATGTTGGAACAATGTTGTAGCCATTCGAAACAATGTTGCAACGCCGTGTTGCGCAAAAAATCGTCGTTGCGAATCGTCTCGTTTAGTATCACCTGTAGACCCCGTTTACACGGGTCCGGAAAAATTTTTGAACAGACCAATTTCTTACCTGTGCGACCCGTTTACACTGAACCGTCCAAATCCTGTTACATTACTGTTTACACGAAGCCGTAAAACTTTTGCCGGAGTCAGCATTGGAATGGCTTTCTTTATCAAACTGAAAGGCGCGCAACTAGGCTGTAAGTTTTTACCGCGCAAACTGTGCAAAAACTTGCAGGGTTTAGGTGTTTGCACGAGTCCGCGTAAGAGTGGAACCCTACCAGTCAAAAATTTTGACCCACTTCTGATCAGGTCAAAAACTTGCATAGTTTGCCGTTCATAAACTTACACGGTTTCGCGGTTCCCCATTACACGTTTACGTGAATGGCGTTTTTGTCGTTCAAAATGTGTCTGCACCCGTGTAAACGGAGCCTGAAAACCACGCAGTTCAATGTCCTATTTTGTAGTACTTTCTGTCATATTCTTTTTCTAATCCTTGTTGATTTTCTTTCATAGGTAAACCAGGTGGTCCTGGAGGCCCAGGGGGCCCCGGTGGACCGGGAGGCCCTAAAGGACCGGGTGGGCCAGGGGGACCCGCGGGACCAGGAGGACCAGGAGGTCCAGGCGGGCCAGGAGGACCCGGCGGACCCAAGACAACTCCCAAGCCCGGAAAGCCTACAAAGCGTCCAGGGACACCCAATGGGCCAGGGGGACCTGGAGGTCCGGGAGGCCCAGGGGGCCCAGCTGGTCCTGGAGGTCCAGGCGGACCTGGTGGACCGACAACTAAAAGACCAGGTACAGTTGAGTTATATATCTCCTAGAAGATATGCATAATAAAGTTTTGCGCTTAGATTGGGTGTCTCGTAATGTGGGTATTGTTCACTGCATTTTTAATCTTCTGTATTACGTCATTTAGTGATCGCAGCCGTCCGCAACACCAAGAGACTACCAACTTTAAGTTCTTACACGGGAAACACGATCAATTTTTTTCCTGCCAGCTTGTGCATTTTTCGTAGTTTCGACATGTGTACGCTAGTAGTTACACACAATGCGATACAGAGAAAGAATAATTGCAGAAACGGGCAAAAACTAATGGTAATGTTCGGTCATTCAAAAGGAAAGTTTAACGTCGCAGTTGTGCGGTGAACATCGACGAAGTGCAAAAAAAGTGTGATGCACATGCAAAGTTGTTATTTTGGTTGATTTGCTTTTTTGATGTTTTTTTTTCCGTCGTCGTAAAGGCTGCCAATTGTAACTAACATAACAAATAAAGTATTTATTATGCGTGCAATTTACAAGATGTGTGTAAACTTCCAACCAAAGAAAGAAGATAACATAGAGTACACCATGGTAAAAAATAATGACAAATCTTGATTCGCTTTCAATGATAAGTCTAATCAGGACTGTCAGTAGCCAGTAAAAATACTATCTTTTCGTCTGAGCATGCAGACTGTTTGCAGTAATCGTTAGAGCGCCCCCCCCCCCCACATGCTTTGAAGCTACGTGCAAACGGTCGCAACAACTCACAACAACACGCAACAGGGAGTGCAAACGGAGGCTACATGTAACATCCAACAATGCTGGGATTTAATTGCCAACAACGTTGCGTCCGTTTGCACGGGGCTTTAGGTCATATCTGTGTTTACCAGTATCTAATAGCTTTCATCCGCAACATGCTGTAGGTCATAAAACAAAGAACTGTCAAAATTTTGTTATCATAGGTGTATCTACTAGACCCACGAAACCCACTGAAAAGGCTCCAGGGACACCAGGAGGTCCCGGAGGCCCTGGAGGACCCGGAGGACCCGGTGGCCCAGCTGGACCAGGTGGTCCTGGAGGGCCAGGAGGACCTGGTGGCCCTGGTGGACCCACCACACCTGTCCCTGGAAAAACAACCAAGCCTACTAAGCCAAGCAAGAAACCAGGACTTCCCGGAGGTCCGGCAGGGCCAGGTGGTCCTGGTGGACCAGGGGGTCCTGGAGGTCCAGGAGGGCCAGCAGGACCGGGAGGACCGGGAGGGCCAGGTGGACCAGCCACACCACGTCCAGGAGAAAAGACAGCACCCACCACACCAACGAAAACGCCAGGATCACCAGGCGGTCCAGGAGGCCCCAAAGGTCCAGGTGGCCCTGGTGGACCTGGAGGACCAGGGGGTCCCGGCGGTCCTGGTGGACCGGGAGGACCAGGGGGACCAGGAGGCCCTGGTGGTCCAGGAGGTCCCGGTGGCCCAGGAGGACCAACAACGAAATCGCCGAGAGCGCCAGAGAAGAGAACAACGCCAACTCGGTACCCACCTGGAAAACCCAATGGTCCGGGAGGACCAGGGGGTCCCGGAGGACCTGGTGGTCCAAGCGGCCCTGGAGGCCCTGGTGGCCCTGCAGGTTTGCTCCTTTTTCTTTATTATTATTATTATTGTTATCATTATCATTAGCATTAGCATTAGCATTAGCATTAGCGTTAGCATCATTACTACCATTAGCATTAGCATTAGCATTAGCATCATTACTACCATTAGCATTATCATCATCATTATTATTAACGCTTAATTGCAACACAGATTTGTTCCTTTATAACTTCCATTTATTGCCTTTACTTGAACAATTTTCATGACCTCTTTTTCCTTTAACCTTACGTGGGTTTAGGTCTCTCACTGGTGGATTTAGTGTCCTTATAGCCGGAAATTTGGGAATCGAGACTTATAACTCTTTTACTTAAGCGATAATCGCTGTTTCGGTTTTGCTTTCTGTTGTTGTTGGCATTAGTCTGCCGAAAAAGTAGTTTATGACGTGTTTTTTAAATTTGGAAGGTCCGAAAAGATATCGAACCAGCTCTCCGGATTAAGATGTTATTAATTTGAGCTGGTATGTACGGTTATACAGAAGGAGTTAATAGCATAGAATATAGCATTTTTTAAAGGGGCGGTTAACTGAGTTGATCATTCATTTCCTCCCGTTAAACGATGGTCGTATATGAAACAGTAGAGTAACATTGGAATGGGCGGAGAATTAAAAAACGGTTACAATGAAATTTGTTTTAACCACTGACTTTTGTCAGGGAGCGCCCTTGAGCCATTAGTAAAATAGCATCTTATTTCTAATCAATTCAAAATTAAAGATTGATGGTATCTGAAGCGAAAACAAAAACGGACAAACTATGTTCGCAGAAGTAAATGGAATTTAATGTCAATTTATTATAGGTCCAGGAGGTCCTGGTGGTCCTGGAGGACCGGGTGGTCCTGGCGGTCCTCCAACGACAAAACCTACGAAGCCAACTAAACCTCCGGGTACACCCGGTGGTCCTAATGGGCCCGGAGGACCAGGAGGCCCTGGGGGTCCTCCAACAACAAAACCTCCAATGACAAAACCTACGAAGCCAACAAAGCCTCCAGGTACACCCGGCGGTCCTGGTGGTCCGGGAGGCCCTGGGGGAGCAGGAGGACCAGGAGGTCCAGGTGGACCTGGTGGACCAGGGGGTCCCAAAACGCCCGCGCCAGGAGTGCCCACAAAGAAGCCGACAACTCGCAAGCCAGGAAGTCCGGGCGGTCCAGGTGGTCCTGGAGGGCCTGGTGGTCCAAATGGTCCTGGCGGACCAGGTTTGTGAATTTGTTTGAATTGCACGCCAAATAAAGCTGGCCGTAAAAAGATTATAGAATTGTGTAATGCTGCATAGATTTGAAATATGTGAAATGCGTACTACAAAAAATCATCTTTCTGAAGTTAAGTCAAGAGAATACAAAGTTTACTGACATATACAAAAATCGTTGAGCAGTAATACAATTTCAACGGGCGTACAGTAACGAACTTGCATTGAACATTGTTAGATCGTTTTCTTGGCTTGTCATGGCTAGCGTCTCCCCATTTTTTAGGGTGAGTAACATAGGCACTCTGTTTCCAAATCTTATTTACAGTTTGCTAGGAAAGGTCTCAGGGGCAGCTGAAAACAACAATCAAGGAAAAGCTTTCTCAAGTTTTTCAGACTCAGCTTTTAAAAAAAAGGATTTGAAGAAACTGACTCCGAAGGGGTGTCTTGTCAAACAAAAGAAGAGTTTGAAGAATTACGTGGTCGTAGAAATATATTAGGGAATTTAGTTTAATATTATTAAGTAACGGTAGAAGTTTAGAGGTCACTTAATGTCTAGTCTGATTTATGATTAAAAGATCTCATAATCGTTCATTGCTTAAAAACACAGGTGGACCAAGTGGTCCAGGAGGGCCTGGAGGTCCCGGTGGTCCAACAACACCAAAACCAGGTGTACCTCCCAGACCAACGACACCAACGAAAAATGCACCCGGTTCTCCCGGCGGACCAGGGGGACCTGGAGGACCCGGAGGACCAGGTGGACCAGGCGGCCCGGGTGGACCCGGGGGTCCTGGTGGACCAACAACTGCTAAACCTGGTGTGCCAACCAAACCAACTAAACCGACTAATTCCCCCGGTACTCCTGGTGGACCAGGAGGCCCTGGTGGTCCTGGAGGCCCTAATGGTCCAGGAGGCCCAGGAGGTCCCGGGGGACCTGGAGGGCCAGGGGGTCCCGGAGGACCGGGCGGACCCGGCGGACCTGGCGGACCAGGTAGGGGAACTTTAAGGGTCTCTTCACTTATTGCTTACAGCTGTAAAACATTGATGTTATACAAATATGTTAAGCGCAATTGTTATTAGTTTCTATTACATTCCTGTTCATCAAAGGAGGTGACATTTTCGTGAATATTTTTCAGAGAAAGGCCGCCAGAAAATTCTAGTGAAATTCAAGTAACAAAACCCAAATTTCAATACACTTCTTCATCAAAAACGGATGTTAAAGTGGCCTTAAGTTTACAAAGAAAGGTGTCTTCTTATGCGTATTACCTCGCAAAGTTGAATTTCAGGAATAATCTAGGGAAAGAGGAAGGCTTTATAAACAAGTCCAAATCCGCATCTCTGAAAGAGATGTATGGATAAGAGGTGAACCAGTTTGTTTAAAAACGTTATGTTGCACTTCTGGCTTCTCCTCATCAGGATACGCTAAAACGTTATCAATATTATGGCTGAACGTCTTTTACAGCGTTTATCATACCCTATACATCATCTTCTTATCTTGATTGTTTCTAAAATTAGGTGGCCCTGGGGGACCAGGAGGTCCGGGTGGACCAGGGGGACCAACAACCCCAGCACCCCAGGGGCCTTCTACCAAACCAACAACCGCCAAACCGGGAGTGAAAACAACACCTACGAGGCCGAAACCAGGTGAGAAAAGGTATTTTTGTTGCGAAATTAGCAAATCTAGAATAACATAGATTAAACAATGACCGACGAGCGTCGAGAATTTGTGGAATTTCATAAAACAAACATTATATGCAACACAGATAATATCGTGTCATTTTCCTGGCTATTCGCATTTCATTTCTCAGTTGTTTGGGTGGGGCTGAAAATGACATATCTCCTTGGAGACTCCAATCAGATTAAAATAGGCGGGATAACTGTCCCTATTTAGTCTGCATGCACTATGATTTCAGCCTCCTTGCCATTCGCGGGAACGCCATCTTCTAACCCAAACTTTTTTCCTCAGCTCCAGCCCGACGGAGGGCTAATTTTATATGTTTTTCCAAGGGGCGGTTTTTCTTGTGCCCCACCTTTGCTGAAGTTACCATCACATACTTGTAATTTTCGTTAAGGTTATCAAGTATTAGTAAAATGCAACTAGTGGTCTATTATAAATGCTGCGTTCCGATTGGTTGAGCTACTACTAGGCTATATGTTATAGCAAGTATAATCGCGGGCTTTTTTGACGGCAAAGAAGGATTAAAGTCTAGCTTTAACTCATGGGCTATTGACTCAGAGCCCATTCGGGCTCGAGGAATAATTTTTAAATATTTGAGACAAATAAACGTCGCAGTAGTGGCCATGTTTACGCCAGATCGCCTGTTCATATTGTTAACCTTGCTTCAGCAAACGAGCGCGACAAGAGCAATTCCCAGCCCATCCTAAGAGCGAAAAGGGGACTAGTTAAAAAATACAAACCTTTTTGACACGTTTTAGGAAAGCCTGGCGGTCCAGGAGGGCCTACAACAGCTCCACCTGGGAAACCTGGTGGACCTGGAGGTCCAGGAGGACCAGGAGGACCGGGTGGTCCTGGGGGACCGGGAGGTCCAAAGCCCGGAGGTCCCTGTAAACCAAAGGTCCCAACAGCTGTTCCGACGAAGCCTCTTCCCACCACACCTATCGGACCAACAGCTGCGACTGCGAGACCTGGAGCCACAACATCGCCCAGTAAAGGTACATACAAAATACACAGCTAGCTGATAAGGAAAAACAACCATTAACTGGAAATTATTAGTAAGAGAGACAGTCGATTTTAACACTGTTTTACAAACGTATTTCATTTTCTAAAATACGCTTTTATTCATCAAATCTGTAAAAAGAGAGAATGTACACAGAAAAAAAATGCATAGCAAAATACATTCGATATGCTAAGAAACGGTGAAGCTAGCAGACTTATTTCTTCTTCGTTTATATATTATGACCTGGTAGTTGTTAAAAATGATAAGTCAGTGCAACACACTTTTTAACCAAACAACTGATAATTCTTTTTCGGTGTTAATTTAGCATTTGACGAAATGTTTCTACTTCCCATCAGTATGACAACCATTATAAAGACCCTTTATGAGACAGTTTTCAAGGGGGCATGAGATTGTTTGCGTCTATTAAGACTGCGATATAGTTGACACAAACAGGTTGGATTTGAAAGTAAATGTTCTTCTGTTGCCTAAACATACAGTTTGCAACGCAAAGCTGGATCTTGTTTTGGTTGTTGACACCGTTCCTGTCGTCCGAAGGGGATTTTCCTTTATTAGAAGATTCCTTCTACAGCTTGTCGACTCCTTCACCATTTCCGTTCAGAATGTTCGGCTTGGATTGGTTGTTAACTCTAACCGCCCTCAAGTCAAGCTTACTTTGGGCCAGTATAACAGTCGCAATAAAATAAAAAGGATCCTTGGACTGCTTCAACCATTCGGCACCGCAAGGCGAACAGGAAGGGCCCTGAAATTAGCACTGAGAGGCATTTTTGCTGCTGGTAAAGGAAAGAAAACGTTAATTTTGGTAACAGCGGGGAGGTCTTCCGATCGGGTCCTTGGGCCAATACAGAGGTTAGTTGCTAAAGGCGTGGACGTCTTCAGCGTTGGTGTGGGACCTGCTGCTGTTCTCAGTGAAATTCTTACTACAGCAAAAGACCCTCAACATGCCTACAAAATAAGCTTCAAGGGCCTAGTAACTATTGTCAAGCGTATAACGGACAAAGTATGCGCAGGTTTGTAATAAGAATTTGTAAATCTATGATCTAGTTCTCAATAAGGGGAGAGAGAAGTATGGGGTACCATTATACGACACTCTCTCTTTAACAATTACTCCACGAGTGCGCGTTGGATATGAGTTGGCTATAATCATCTCATATCCAACAAGCGCGTGTGGAATTATTGTTTTATAAAAAACGCCCACAAAATATCGAGAATTCTTCCCCACTTTATTTGTAAAAACAACCGATTTTCCGCTTGTTTTTAATTTTGAGCAGACGCGTACAGTTACCGTATTTGGAGAGCATGGTATAATGGCTCATATACCATGATGGCTAAGCCAATCAGAGCTCTAGAACTGCATTATCCAATGATTCAGTTTTTGATAATCATAACTATACGGTATTGCTATAACTGTATTTGCTCATTCAGATGCTTGAGTGTCCAAGTATTCCGCCGGATTCCTTTTTGACTTTTGCGGCATTTCGTGCAAGCATCTTTTTTCTGGGGTTCACTTTCTAATGAAAGTTCTTTCGTACATGATAAAATTATTCATGGTCAACTAAAAGAAAATGATAAAAACAAAACTAAGGTAACTAAAAATCAGTGATGAACATTGCAGTTTGGTGTCATTGACTTTACTTTTTGGAAAATAGAGTCCGAAAAATCTTTCCGTTTCATCGTTGATTTTTACTGGCCTATGTATTAAGACACCATCGCTTACAAGGTAATACCGCGAAAATCCAATAGTTTTCTTTATATTTAATATTGGTATTTGGAACGCTAAGAGGTACTTTAACCAAATCAGAATTCTTCATCTTTACAATTTATTTTTCAAACAGTGTTTGTAAACCAAGCGGGCAGTTTAAAATACGAAGTGCAGCAAATTGATTTTGTTCTTGATATGACATGAACTTCGAGTTTCTTGAAAGGGTTTGAAGATTTCCCCAAGATTTCATTATTTTCTTAAAGTCCTTGGGTTAAGATAAAACGCAGCCGTGTCTATATTGTCTGCAAAGAAACTCATTAATTTATTTTGTATTCGCTTTACCAATTAATGTATTTTTCAATAAAATTATAGAAGCTGGAGGCAGGACTCAGACACGGACGAAACCTACGAAACGTCCAAGTAAGAACATTGAGTTGCTTTCGTCCTTGCTTTGCAAGCTGTTTCATTTCCATCCATTGTTTCTCTGCTTGAATAGCATAGAACCCCTGTTGGATTTCTTTGATCAACTCCTTTCAAGATAGAACCGTGCACTCTCTTTGGGACGTTAAAGAACCCTCACGTTGTTCGTGAAGAGTTGTTCCCGGTGTGGTGGTCTATCTCAAAAGCGCACTCACATAGTGGATCATAGTGAACATCATCACTCATTCCTTCAGTACAAATTTGTAAACTGCGCCATAAGCAGTCTGGCAACAAGTTCGCCAACCATTATTGTAAATTTTCCCTGAAGAGCCCCGAGGGGAGTGGATAATATGATATTTACAATTTAGTTACAATTTACAATCTCTATTTGTTTCCTTGTAACAGAACGTCCCAAGGCTGTCGGCATTTTCCCACTGAACAAAAGGACGCGAGCGGGAGACATTGGCCCACTAAAGAATAGCCCAGGCATCATGTACAATGTTCGACCCAGCCCGGGTCCAAACGGTAAACCGGGTGGATCCCTGAGGTTCCCTAGATCAAGGCCAGGTTATATTGAGTTTCCTAACAACGGAAAACTGGATACCAAAAATTCAATAACTGTTATCTTATGGGTCAGACCTGAAGGACCAGGAACAATGATACGGTATAAACCAAGGGGAGTCACATTTGGCATTCGCTCCCGCGACAGCCTATACTCTCGATTTATTCGAAGAAACGGTAGATCAACCAAGACTATTAAGACTAGGCGGCGTGCAATATTGCTGAGGCAGTGGAATTACGTTGCTGTTACATACAACCAAAGATCGGGGATTGGAACCATTTGGCGGAATTCTCGTCCTATTGCTTTCCAGAAGCTTGGTTGGATCAGACTGGCTACAAAGAGCCCACTAAGGGTGGGTGGGGCGCCTCGTGGTAGGCGGCCTTTCAGGGGTAGCATCGCCTGTCTTCAAGTTTATAAGGATGCTCTGACAGGGCCACAGATAAAGAACGTGCAAAATATTTGTTTTGGACCAGGTAATGTCTTACTTTGTGGGCTTTTAGGATTGAGTACATAAGTTAACTTACCCTTTCTGTCGCCCTTTGAGTTTACAATTGCACTTTGTAATCTACTGCACTTTTTTAAGCGTCTTTAACCGGACGCACTTCGAACTTCCAATGTTTGCCCCACTTCTCACGGTGATAGATAGTGGGAAAACCTGTTAGCCTGCTTAATAACATCTAATCGGTGGTAGTTTAGATTGGATACGCTGATATTGTTGCTTAACAGAAGACTTTGATTCTGCACTCAACTTCAGTATTCAGTGTCTAGTGCTTTAGGTCTCTTAGAATCTTATCAAGAGTTGGGGTGGTTGCGTGTAACGTTTGATAAGGTCCTCAGCAGCGTTAGATCTCCTTTATTGTTAAACTGTTGTATTTTGTCATATTCCACTGTTGTGTTGCAGGTGAGCCAACGCCTACAAGACCTCCCACCACTCCTCAGCCAGGTAATAAGAGGGTTGTCAACTTGTCCCAGGCTCCGCTCAGGTGGTAGAAAACAAGCGAAGCGAAAATAAGACGCGCGTGTTCATGGGAATAATAATAATGATTAAAAATCTTTAACGCGTCTTTTCCATGGAAACATGATCAAAAGCGCGTAACAACTAGTGCTTTAAATGTTAAAAGGAAAATAAAAGCTCAAATGTACATAGTCATTAAAGCTAAAAAGCACTGAAATAAAGCTAAAGATTTTTAAATAAAAACACTAAATAAGACAAGACGTAAACCAATTCAAGGCGGTTAACCAATTCAGGGCCACGGAAGGGTGCGGTGGTGGAAAAAGGAGGAGAGACCACCGCCTTCTCTCTCCCCAGTGGCCGAGCGTTTTTCGCATCAGTTTTGACCATCTCCACACATTACTATCTTGGAGCCTGGAACAGGCTAGAAAATTTTTTGAACATTACTTTTATGACAATACTTCAAACGAAAATTTAGATGAGAGAAAGTGAAGATCGTCGCAGTGATCGAATAGCATCTAATGCATTGACAAAGTAAATCACCTCTGTTTACCAATAACGGGATTAGGTTATATATTGATCAGTCAACTTTTAAATGACAGTTAAACTGTTCCGACGTGCTTCAAATTTAACGAACCTGCAAAAAAACTACAAGCCTTTTACCCACGTTTGATGATGATCACGAGTATTCGTTTTTTGGCTTCTGTACTTGTGTGGAACAGTCTCCCGTTTGATGCTATTAATGCTCCGTCTTTGATCGTTTGTAAGGCCACAGTTAAATGCTTTTAGTTATCATTTGCTGTCTAAATATGATCCACTCATGCCACGATTAGCCTGTACTATCGGCAATTAACTGATTAAATATTAACAATTGCAGTTCTTGCTTTCTAATATTTTAATATTGATTGGCAGCGTTACCTCCCGCTATGGCATTCTTCCCTCTGACATCCAAATATGGCGCACAGGACATAAGTCCAACCAGAAACAAACCCGGAAGAATTGTTGGTGTCGTGCCCGTCTCCGGACCCAACGGCCAACCAGGAAGTGCTTTCAAGTTCCGAGGGCGTCCTAACAGTTTCATAGAATTTCCGAACAAAGGTGGACTCGACACGAAAAATTCCATAACGATTCTTGCCTACGTTAATCCAGAATCACCAGGACCTATCTTTAACTACAATCCCCGGGGATTTGGAATGCATCTCTGGATGGTTCGTCGAAACGTACTGTT